CGGGGTCGGCGCGGCGGGGCCGGGCCCGGCTGAGCCCGGTGCAGCGGGGGACGCGGCGGGGTCGGTGCGCACTCTCCGCGCTCCCTCGGAGTCCTACGGGGCTGCTGGCTCATAGGTGCCTGCCTCGGGAGCGCTGCGTGCTCCGGCTGCGCGTTCCACGTGTGTTTGTTTAAACAGCCACTTCCCCGTTCCGCCCCGAGCCAGGCGCCCTCCGTGTTTGCTCGTGAGCTGGTGGGGGTGGTGCAGGGCAGAGGTCGAAAGGCTGGGAATCGGGAGGAATGTCTTCGCAGAAGGGGTTATTGGGCACTGGAATGGGCTGCCCAGGGAGGTGGTGGAGTCGTCGTCCGTGGAGGTGTTCAAGGAAAGGCTGGATGTGGCGCTCAGTGCCGTGGTCTGGTTGACCACGGTGGTGCTGGCTCACAGATTGCACTAGACCAACCTCAAAGATCTTTTTCAACCTGATTGATTCTTGTGATTCTGATTCTTGTGATTCTGATTCTTGTGATTCTGCAAAGCGCAGCCTGTCGGGAGAAAGGGCATTAATCCAGGGTGATTTTCCCAAATCCGTTCTGCTAAGAGCACGCGTTGTTAGCGTGCTGGCGCCGTGTGGGAAGGCGGAGGGAGGGCGAAGGAGTGCCGAGAGGAGCCCCGGCGGCCGGGGCGGCGCGGCGCGCGCGGGGCGCTCTGCTCCTGCCCTGAGGGGCTCGGCTGCCAGACAGCTGCTCGGGCCGGAGCCCGCCCTGGGGCGAGCCCCGCCGAGAGTGGCTTTGCTCAGCTCTTGTGTGCATTAAGTCATCTTTGTTTTAGAATCACGCCGAAACAGCCAGGCACTGGTTCCAGTGCTCCTATTTGAAGCGTTTGTAATAAAACGCCAGAGCGACAGGGAAGAGAGCTGCATCTGGAAAATGCAGTGCCCGCAGTGGGTATTTAAACTGGCCTCTTTCTCTCTCTCTCTCTCTTTTTTTTTTTTTTTTTTTTTAATTGGAAAAGTTATTTTTACTACTCAAGTTTTCAAGTGCCTTTCAGCACAACACGGAATCGTGAAGAATTATTTTTGCTACAAAAGGGCAGGAACAAGGTGATCTAGTGGCTTATGAAAGACAACAAGCTAAAGATAATTTTCAAAAGTGACAGTTAACTTGGAATGTTACAGATTCCGCTCCTTGAGAACAAACAGAATTCTTCAGATTAAATCTGTGTGCTTTGACAGAGGGTGTGCTTTAAATCAAATTAAATCCTTGAGAATAAGAATATAAATGTATAACTGACCAGGTATTTATACATCTTGAAAAGGTCGGTGTAAAGTCAGTGGCATATGAATGATTGAAGTAACAGAAAACTTCAAGAGAGAGGAAGTACTTTTAGGACAGATGTTTAAATTAATATTTATATTCTTTTAAGGATTCAAAGTTTTGCATATATCTGAACTTATTAAAATACGCACACTTTAGGGGAAGAAAAAAGTTCAAATTTTTAATATTTTTATGATTGTATTTGTAGTGAGTGAAACTATCATCAGAGTGTTTTTCTGGTGTTTCAGGAAGGAAAGAACAAACGTATTTTAGCTTCATCGTGGAATTTTTCCCATGACTCCAGAAATCAATGTATATGTATTTATGTTGATACACAGTTACATGTTGCCACAAGTAGTCATTATCCGAAGCTTATGTTAATTTAAAACATGCAAACCACAAACCAGAATTGATTTGTAATAAGGATACAACTTCTTTCTGAATCACCTCTGACTTTGAAAGGCTAGTACTTCCTGTGTTTTTAGATAATTTTTTTTAATGGAATGTATTCCTTCAAGTTCATGATCAGATTCAGTGAATTTCTAAACACCTGATTTTGTTTAAAATTAACCTGAGTTTTTCTGTCTGTTGAGATGACTTAACAAAGTCTTACTCAGATAAGCTGGAACTGTGAGAAAGATGTGGAATTTCGTGTTTAAATTCAGTAGTGACTTGCTGGTTTATCTATATCTGTTTCAACAAATTAATGTATCTTTCTTTATTCTGAGAAGCGATGGGATAATGTATTAATAAAATTTCACTTCATTCTTTCCCTGAATTTAAGAACTTGGAAAGATGTCTGTGTTCTGCGCTGTGAAAGCTGAGCCCAAAGACCATTCAAAGGAAAATAATTGCAGAAAACAAATAAAGTAAGTGTTTCTCTCTTTCTGCCCTTGCTGAAAACACCAGTGTTTCTAAATAATAACATTGTATACTTCCTGTGCTGTCAGTTTTTTACTTCTCTGCTAGGAATGCCACTGCACATTCCAAACTGTTTTTTTCACAGGAATCTGCACTTTGAATTATGTAGATTTTAGTCAGTAATATGGGGTTGTGGAGTGCATATGAATTATTCACCTAAGGCTCTGTCTTTATTTTAAGCTTCATGTATCTTATTGTGGACTTGCTTTGAAAGAGGACAGGATTGTTTACAGGCTGAATTTATAATAGTCAAAGGAATAGAAGACATCAGACAGCAACCTGTTGAGCAGAAATTGAAATGTCAGGGCATACATCTCTTACATTTCATTCCTTTTGCCCATCTGAAAGAAACTGCAGACATGAGGAGCAAAAAATGATGTCACCAAGCCTACAGCTTTTCTTGGGCATAAGTTTTGAATAACATGGACATAACAGTGGTATGCATAAAGAATAAAATGGCAAAATCCAGTTTTAAAGGTGAATATCAGTAAACTTTGTCACAAAAGGACAATCAAAATACTTCTAAATCTTCAAGATAATAAACTGTTGGGGGAATTAATTCTGCAATTTAATACAACGAAAATTAAGAAAAGGAAAATGAAGCAGTACCTGAATTCTCGAATTAAATCGCATTTAGAGGGAAGCTGTGCCAACAGTAGTAGCAGTAAACTAAAACAGAGTAATTAAAGAGTGTCTGTGTTGAGTTTCCTTTTGTGCACCAAAATTTGCTTTTTCCTGTATCAAGAAGATTGTTTATAAACATACATTTAAAAAATTATATGTTTATATATATTTTATCTTTTTTTACTTGTAATGTTATGGTTTATATTATTTGCTTGGTTTTTCTCTTTCCTGGAAAGTTAAAAAGAGGCTAAATAGCCTCCACTTCTCCTAGGGCTTCTTTTCACTTTTCCCTCCCGCTTTATTATTCATTTTACTTTATGTTAATTGAATCACAGAATTCCAGAATAGTCTGTGTTGGAAGTTGAGTCCACAAGGATCATCAAGTCCAACTCTTAAGAAAATAGGCTGTACTGGGTTTGAATCTGCAACCTTGGCATTATTGGCTCTATGCTCTAACCACCTGAGCTAATCTCAGGGTATTTATCCCCTCTGACAATGATTGAATGATCATGTCCTCTTTAAAACTTAGTTTTAACTTATTTATCCTTCACATATACTCTCTTCTGGGTCCTCATGTCTGTACGGAGGACAGAAAAGGATTAAGCTCTGAACAAAAAAATCATGGTCTTGAGGCTGCCCTTGTTTCCACAGGTGGTTGCTCGGTGCATTTCTCAGCTCCATGGCCCCTGCTGGCTCTTAGAACAGCACCATGGAAGCTTGTCCTCACTTCTGACTTGGTTTTCTCTGTTGCCACAAGACTACAGTTGTATTGAGTCATAACCCATGTAGGTGTTCTCTGGTCTCCTGTCTCTAACAAAGATCAATAAAAGATTTTGGGGAAGAAATGGGGAGAAATCATATACTAAGATCTGTTAGCATATACTCCATTGCCATACAGAACTTTCTCCCTGCCATCATTGAATGTGGTGAAGGACTTTATGCATTGACATAAGCTAATACAATTAACCTTTCATTCCGTGAACACATGCAGATAATTCTGAGTCTCTGTAAGTGTTTAATATTGACAGTGGTTTGTGGTAAGGTATTCCATAACTTAGCCTGGCTTTGTGTGAAAAAATTAGATTGCCCTTAATTATGCAAAGAATTGCATTGTTTTGTGTATTTTGAGTTTGCATCCTCTGCTGCTTTTTTTTTTTTTTTTTTTTTTTTTTTTTTTCCCTCCAGCTCTCTAGCTGTTCTGTTATTTTTAAACAAGAACATTAGGCATCTGACTTTCAGGTTGAAATGATGCTTCAATTGCTTCAATATTCTAATCTTTTTATTATCTGCACAAAGAGCACTGGGGTGTGAGTCTGCTGTACCAGTCCCGTAAAACAAAGTCCTCCACTTCAAGTAGTTGCAGAACTAACACTTAGCAATACTAATGGGTCTGCATGCAATACATATGCAAGACCTGCATTCACTGGTTAAATAATCTCTTTCTATTTTAAAAAAGTGTACTCAACACTGATAATATATAATGAGGCTTGGAAAGTTAGAGGTGTGCTGTGTGCAGGAAAATATTGTGACTGGGTGCATTATTTTCTGTACTGCAAAATGGATTATCAGTATGTAGGTTCACCTTGAATAAGTAGCAGTAAATTACTGGGCAAGATTAAGGCAAGAGAAGTGCAGAGAAGTTCTGATGCTTTTAAGAGACGGGGCAAAGTGCTTCCAGTGTGAGGAACAAGTCAAGTTTTGTGGGTGACTGTTGTGATTCTTTTTTGATCTGATAACTAAGCAAGGAATAAGATAATTTAATCTTCTTAAGCAAAATCTTTCTGGCTATATCTGAGACAATGTGGTTCCATTTAGTTCAGTTATAGCAACTGCACGTTTAAATCAAGGATTGAAGGATTTTTCAGCTTCAAGTGATAATTTGTTATCTCCAGTGTGACGTGTTTGGCAGGAATTACAATCTACTATGGCAGAGAGAGGAATATGAGTGGGATAGCATTTCAAATATCAATGCCATTTGGCTTAATTTCTGAGACTACTCAGAGACTTACTAAAGGGGGTTTGTTTTGTTTTTTGTTTGCTAGTTAGTTTGGTTATTTTTTTTAAAAGCCACTAATGGCTTTGATTGAAAGTTTTTGGAGAGATTTTGCAACTTTAAGGTAGACAATTCTACTTAACCATTTCAAGCATCAAAAGAGTAAAATAAGGCATCAGAACGGCAAAAGCTGAGTGTAAATGGTGGAAAGAAAGAAAAAACCAAGCTGCCTGACAGATTAAAAATTCACATAAGCAAAACGAAAGGAAGTAGTAAGCTTATTAGAACCTCTCTGAATAATGAGTACATACATATCTTAAGGACACAGTAAATTACAGGAGAAGTAGAGACTGGCATGTTGATACAGCTTTAAACAAGTGCGTGAAACAAAGAAATGAGGAATTAAGGACGTTTTTATTTTGGAGACGTTGCTGTGGTTTCACTGAATTTCACTACCCATTTCTAAGCATCTCCTTCTTCTTAGTAATTTGGTTTTGGGTTTATTACCACTTTCTTTCCTTTATGGTTATTTTTCTCTATCACAAAGTTGGGCATTTTGGGTTGAGGATTCTGTACTTCCTTAGTGGGATAATAGGAGTAGTAGTAGGGGAAAGCAGTTGGCAAGGGATAAAAAAATTGATGATTAGAGGAATTGAACAAAGATTAATTGAGGAATGTGACTGGTACAACTAGCTAGCCAAGAGGGTTCCATTAGGGATGGAACAAAGAGGATCAAGGCAACACAAATTGTGTTAGTTCTATGGCTTAAGCAGAGTCTTGAAATTCTGAGTCACTATTTCTCTGCCTTAGGAAATTGTATGTAAAACATACTGTCAGAAGATGGTTTTAGTTAATGCTAGTAATTACACATATCCACTCACATGTGTGTCACAATACAGTCAGAAGTAAAATTATGTGAACATTTTTCTTGTAGTCATTCTTTTATGTACAGAATAGTTGTGCGCTTGGTGTAGATGAATAAACGCTGTCTCCAGCTGGCTATTCTTTAGAAAAAAGAAGGCAGTAAAGTAGTAAGTAAAGTTCAGATGGTTCATTTTTTTTGTCATGCACAGTTTAATTCATTTTCTGGCACAGTGTTTCTGCAAGATAAAAATCCAGTTAATAAATCAGATTTTTCTCGGCTGCTAAATTGTAAGTATATAATTTTATGGATGGATTGCTTTATAAACAATGGTCTGAAATATTTTGAGTAGTACTTAGAATACTCTCAAGGCCTCATCAGCTAGTATTTTATCTTTTTTATTCAATAAATGCTCATTAACTGTGCACATTTGTCCTACATTCTTTTACTGTGGTTTTTGTCTAGCATTATTAAAGAATGTGTGTAATGTAACTAGAATCCTCTTGGAGGTTACTGAAATGCAACTGCTTTTTCTTTCAGAAATAGTATGGCTATTGTGTACTAACAATTCTGTTCAGTTATGTTTTTAGAGTATAAAAAAAGAAGAATGTGTCTGTTTTTGAAGTATAGAAGGAATTCAAGTAAGCATAAAGTAACCAAGTGATCTGGAATTTGGCTAGAATTCTAGGAGCAAATGCCAGCACTTAAAAGCCTTGGATAGCTCTTTCTGGTTATGTTGAAAGGGAACATTGGTCAAGCATGCTCTGCATTGGAAGTATTCCTGGTAAAACATCAGGTTTTCAATATTGTTCTTTAATCAACAGTACTGAGCTAATTAGGGTAGAACTGATGATGTAAATAGTTAAAATCAAAGTGATTTTGATGTAGCTAGACAAAGGAGAGACTATGGGCTAATATGCCCGGTTTCTTCTTTTAATGAAAAATTAATGATACATCATGGCACGGTAATGCTAGTACACAGAATATAACTTCTTTTCTACAGTAATGATTTATCTTTCAAGTTGCTCATTTCTCTCCTCTTATGTCATTATTAATTTTACTCTCAGGCTGATTCCAATAGATGTTTTCTGTTCTTCTTGATCCAATAGATGTTTTCTTTTCTTCTTGAGTGTAGGAGTTGCTGATAATGACAGGGATAGTGTTGTGCCCTGCTTAATGGCTATGGAAATGCAATTTTTAAAAAACTTTGAATTATTCATAAGCGGTTTCTTATTTGATTACATGTGCTCTGACTAGAAGATTTAAACAGGAATAAACAGTCTGCCTTAAAATAAGTAAAATTCTGTTAAGAAGTTTGATTTAATATAGAATGACTGAACACAGGCCCTAGTGAAAGATGAAAAAAAAGCCTTCCAGTTGTTCATGTTTTGAGTTGTGGCAGAGATACGCATTTTAAACAAATGACAGAAATTTAGCAACTTGTGTGGTGAAGCACTGACTGCCTTACT